AGACAAGGAGGTACAGTTTCTTAGCAGGATCCTGAGTATATTTTGGGAGCATTCTGACCAGGAGCAGGGAAACTCTTTCCCTAACAGAACATAGGCTCCATGAGAATGGGAACTTTGTCTTCTTCAATCCTGTATTCCCAGCTCTTGGAATAATGCCTGGTACTTAGTAGGTGTCCAATAATTATTTGTAGAATTAATGAATGGATCCTGTTTATCAGGGATTCATACTGGGCAGGGGGTGCTTAGTCATACTTGCTGTCAAATTGTCCCCCAAATTTGAATTGCTGTCTTTGGTTGCAACCCTGCAGTTTGGTCTTGAATCTGAAGAGGAGCCATTTTTGCTTCCCCCACTTCTTCTTAACAGTGAGAATTTGGGGGCCTCTCCAGAGTTCTTAAAAAAGTTGGTCTTCTCCAGCATTATTTTTGCTCTAAATTGTTCTCCAGCCAAACTTGATTTTTCAACTTGAACTTCATGACACCTTGTTATCTGGCTTCCCTGCTATGTGTGTGTGATAGGAACTTGACATGTAAACAGCAGCCACTTTTACTATTTCCAAATACCTATTTGAGAACATTTGCATTACATCAGGACCAATCTCTTTTAAAAACACTTATTCACTAGGAAGTTATCAATGACTTTGAATTAACCAAGAGTTGTTAGTATCATTGTTCACCACTTCCTTGTTTATCTTCTGTGTTCTGGAGATGTCGATACTGACTCAATTTTTACCTCTGGGTTATTTGTAAATTTTTTGAAAAATAAAAAGAGCATAATTTACTTTCTGAATCCTTGCATGTCAGAACTCTTTTGCTTCAATGCCTGTTTGACAAGTTGGTTTGATATGGCTCCACTGACTTCTACCATTCAGTGATTCAGGCAGTTTGACCTCAGTTCTCATCGTCTTTCAAATTGTAGTTATCTGGCATGTTCTTATTTTTTCCTTTATCCTTATAATTCAGAGCTAAAGACTCCATGGTTAGAGCCTTTGCAGTACAAAATTACAAGAATTAGAATCCTCAAAGCTTCTCTAGTTTTGGTCCATTGCAGTGAAAGCATTTAGAGTGATTTACTTCTGAAGAAATCATACGCTGCTGTAGAATTTGCTTACTTTGATGCAGAAGGCCAGGAGAAAGTGGAGTTTCAAGTATGATCACACAATCTCTAGTGTATAAAACTTTTCTATAGAACAGATAACCCAAACAGTAAAATTATTATTTTAATTTCTTGTTTACTAGGGTCAAATTTTCAGAGTAGTGTTTTTTTTTTTTTTTTTTTTTTTTAACAAATGTGCCCTAAATATTAAAATAAATGAGTTTTTTAGGTATAAGCTATATTTGCCCTTCATTCAACAAATATGTGTTGATTATCTGCCATGTGCATGGAACTGTGTGGATAGGATTTTGCCTTTAAGTGCTTAGAATATGAGAGTAATTCATAAAGTTTGTGAAAAATGGAATTAAAAAATGATTCTTTCCATGACCTTTTTGAAGATCTCTATCATATATTATCCTGAGAAGATATAATAAACTGTAATAATTGTTCAGAGGGAAAACAGGTTACCATTCAGTGGGCGAAACCAGAGAAGACTTTGTGGAAGAGAGATCACTTAAAAAGGGCTGGAGGATGGTAAGGTTTTCGCATGTGGAATTTGTGGGCAGGAGGAGAGAGGAAAGCATTCCAAAGACGGAATACAGGAGAACTGAAGGGAAAGGGATGGATACACACAGGTTCTACTATAAGGAACAGTTGTAACTCCACATGAAAATGCTAGAAAAAGGATGAAAAGGAAATGGGTGGATGCTGTTAAGAATAGAGGAAAAATTTCAGCGTCCTTCATATCACTGACTAACTTGAAGCTCTCTCAGTAAAGCTGGCATTTAGGAATAAATATGAATATACGAAAGAATTTATGACAGAACATACAACAGTAAGTAGTGCTTTACCACTGCAAAAGGTAATTTAGAAAACTGGGAATGAGTTGAACTAACTTGCCTGAAGTCTGAAGACTAAATGGTCTTCAAGACACCTACAGGGTTTATATTTGTTACAACCACTCACCACCATTAATTGTAGGGTGGGAAAGCTAACATACCTTAAAATCTTGAAATAGGGCATCATGGCTTAGGTTGTTAACCTACTTACACAATGAACATTCCTAGGGCATGAAAATCTGGCTACAGGAATCTGCTTAAGAAATATCATCAAGTGTATATGAATACTAATAACAGATCAATTACATACTTTTAGAAACAAGTTTACTGACATTCCAGTAAGACCACACAGACTGCACTGGCAACACTTTGAAAGGAGCCTCAAGAAAAAGATTAAAATTCTCTAATGACAATGGAATAAACCAAACGTAAAAACCCTTCCAAAAATTTATATACCATGAAAATGTCCACACTTACGTGATGTTCCATTACACTTCCCGCTCTCCTCCCCTCAAGCCCCAGGGCCTTGAATGAAGTTTATAAATAGACTATCTGCCTGTTTTCAAAAAAGATTCAGTTTACAGAAATTTCCACTTGTGCATTTATAAAAAAAAATTGGTTTATATTTCACATATTCATCTATTGAGTAAAGCAAGGTTAGTCTGTTTACATTGTAAAAAAAAAAAAAGACTTGTCCATTAGGAGAAAACCATTTTCATCTGTAACAATGGCAGCTGAAAATAACAGTATGGAAAAGGATATTCTGTGAACTCCTTCATGGATAGAGTCTCCATCAAGCACTGTGCTCTTGTTCCATTCCTTTTTTTTTTTTTTTTGTCCTTTTTTTTTGAGACCAGCCGCACTGCGCTCAGCCAGTGAGCGCACCGGCCATCCCTATATAGGATCTGAACCCGCGGCGGGAGCGCTGCTACGCTCCCAGCGCCGCACTCTCCAGAGTGCGCCACGAGCTCAGCCCCCATTCCTTTTCTAAAGCAGACAGAACCTGGGAATTTATGTGCTCTGTCATAACAGTATTAATCAAGGAGAAAAGTGTTTCCACTACCCTCAAGATAAAGCCAGTTCCTCTAACGAATGACAGTTGACACTAGCTGTTAGTCAGGGTTCTCCAGAGACGCAGAACCAATAGAATGTGTACATAAACATATATAGATTTATTTTAAGGAATTGGTTCATGTAATTGTGGGGGCTGGCAGGCTGGAGAAGCAGGGAAGAGTTGATGTTGCAGCTCCAGTCTCAAAGCAGTCTGGAGGCAGAGTTCCCTCTTCCTCAGGGGACTTCTGTCTTTTAAGGACTTTCAGTTGATTGGATAAGGCCCACCCACATTATGCATGGTAATCTGCTTTACTCAAAGTCTACTGACTTAAATATTATTCACACCTAAAAAAAAATCTTCATAGTGACATCTAGACTAGTGTTTGACCAAAAAATGGATACTGTGGCCTAGTCAAGCTGACAGATAAAATTAACCATCACACAGGTCAACATCTTCAGAGTAGATTTATTACTACTATTCTTTGTGAAATAGAATGAAGTTGAAATAATGACATTCTGAATTTTGTTGTTTTGTTTTGTTGTAGGCTGAAATTGTCAACATTTGAACATTTTGACCTAAGAAAAAGGGTAATTGGTATGGCTCAATACAAAATTTAGGCTTCCACTCCATAGTCAGATGCTGCTGCTCTCTCCTTTCCATAAAGCAGACTTCTTTGGAACACCCCAAGGACTTAGCATGAAGTGGTGCCCTTTTGCTTCAGAAATGTTTGTTGAATAAATGTTCAATTAAGCAAAAGTGATAGCAAAACTCAAGCTGTCTATAGCTGGAGAGAACTTTTTCTTCTCCTTAATGGTAAGCCATTACTGTGAACTTTTCATCTAACACTAATGAAAAAGTCCCTTAGCCCCATCAGGTCTATGATGCAAAAAGTAAACTGCATTTCTAATTAATTTTCCCTAAATGAGATTATACCTCCTTGAGTGAATTAATCTCAAACATACTTTTTCAGAGTTTTCTACTTGAGTCCTATAAAGAGCAAAAGCATTTTCCTTCCATAAACAGTCCTTGAAATTGTTCATATAAATGAATTTAAATAAAAACATATTTAGGGCCGGCCCGGTGGCGCACTCGGTAGAGTGCGGCGCTCCCGCTGAGGGTTCGGATCCCATATAGAGACCGGTCCGCTCACTGGTTGAGCGCGGTGCGGGCGCGACACCGGGGGTTGCGATCCCGTTGCTGGTCACGAAAAAAGACAAAAAGGAAAAAAAAAACCATATTTAATTCTAAGAATTAACACAGGAATACTTTTGGACTTGCTGGAATTAAACAAGTGATAAGCAAGTGAAAAGAGGAAGAAACTGCCAGCACTGGAATTACTGATCATTTTCTTTACTCCTCTAAAAGTAGGAAAGCCAAAGGTAAAGGAAGAATTGTTCCTGTCATATGAAAGAGGTGCATGAGATACATAACAAATTATATCTACAATTGGTTCCTGGACAGGTATTAAACAAATTTTTAAAATTAATCTCTCTCTTGGAAGTGGTATTACTGGCTGTTTAACTGAGGAGTTTTACTTAAATGGTATGTGTGTGATTGCCCTTTTGGACCACATGAATTGCCAAAGGAGCTTTCTTCAGCAAAATTTTAGGCAAACAGCCTAAGGGGAACTTCTAAAAGGATAATTTACAGTACTAACAGACAATAAGTGGTAAACGAATGCTAAATGCCAATTTTATCTCACAGGAACAAGAAACAATGTAATAGCCTTTTGTGAATTCTAAATTCACCTGGATTAAAGTTTTGACGCACCAACTTTTGACTTTTATTATTTACCATTTCTATCCTTCCTCTAAAGGTACAAAAGTTAAAATGAAAACAAAAACAAAAACAAACCCTTACATTTCACTTCAACAACGAAGTATTGTCCTAGAGCCAACGATTAGAATCTTATATTTATCAAATGAGAAAATACTTATAATACACGGTGAAGATAAAATGTTATAGCAAATAGAAAAGTATCATCTATTAAATTTTCAGGAAGATCTACATTATCTAAAGCCAGTCTATAATTTTATTTATATATTTTGTGGAATTCACATATCTTTTTCTTACAGCAAACATAACACTGTAGGCCACAAGAAGCTGCAGTACTATTGTTTAATTAGCAGCAAATTAATATTTTAAATCTGGGTATCTGGACAATAAATAGCCTGCTTCTTTGGATGTGAATGTTTAAAATGTAGTATCACTGCAGCTTCATAATGTGATCGCTATTTTACAGAGCTTATACACACACAAAAAATATGATCTTTGTCTATATTTTATACAAATACAACAGTAGTTTGTGAATACATTTTAAGTACATGATATACACGATAAGCCACTTGATTTCCCAATATCACAGAATAGCAATTTCAAATGCAATAAAAATATACAAAATTCAGCCTGGAATGCAGATTTTCTTTTCTATTTTGACTCAACACTTTATCATTAGAACATTTTTAGAGTACTAGTCCAAACACTTTCATCAGCTAAAAATACGATTTCAGCAGTCCAGCTTATGTTCAGGCATGATGCAATCCACTTCCTAATGGATTCCCAGTTTTTGTTAAATTCAAAGGGCTGTTAGTAACATACAGCATATTCTTCACTCCACACCCAATTATAAAGCCCACTTTCCATTCTGAGTTACAGTCACCTTGTGGACAAAAGCTGGGTTTGTTCCGGCAACATTTGCATGTCCAAGATCTCCTTTTGCAAGTGCACATGAATACATCGCGGTGGTGTAAAAGTTTGTTAATGACAAGTTAAGTCACAGTATAAAAATATATTGTACACCTTTACACCTAATGTAGTCCTTTTTCTATGGATAAAAAAATACAACTGAACAAGAAAGAGAAGTTTGTAGCACCATGAAGAGTTGTATCCCAAGTTACATTAGCAGCATGATCCAACATAATATTGAAGGAGTGTTTCTGAGAAGATAAACATTCACTCTGGTTCATCTGTACCACTGAAGCTTATACAATGAAGTGTTTTATACATTAGCAACAGTTCTCTGTCATTTCTAGAGCTAGCTAAATTTATCAAAAGACAATGCCTTCCATCCTCAGAGGGCTGATAACATTGCAGAAGGCCTAATGGTGATCTAAATGTGCCTTTACCAATGTTGGTAGCAATATCTTGCTTTATATGATCCAAAAGGAGCTCTGTATGGGTTTTTAGCACAAAACTACACTACACAGCTCATGTAGACCAATGTAATCACCAACAGACTATCTGTGTTGTAAATATGAATGCTGACACAGCGTGAGAAAACAAGACAAATTCAACTCAGGCACTCACTTGTCGGAGATAACAGTCTGCCACTGCTAATAACGAATACTCAACGCTTAAAAGATCTCCTCCAATGTCATATGGATCTCAGTAGGCTAGAAGCAACTTGGGTGAACTGGTATTTTTAAACTTACGTACTGGGAAGACAGTGTGCTTTGAAACACGTAAACCTTGTAAAAAAATAAACCATTGTAAAACCTTATGAAAAGACACACACTGATTCTGTGCAATATAGCAAATTGATAAGAAAACACTGTAAAAATGTACCTGTTTAAAATGCCATCTACCATTTTTGTACACAAAGCATTATATATCAAAGGCCTACATATATATCATCTAATGGCACTTGAAACAAATTATAATAAGTCTTAAAATTAAAGGCATAACCTATAAGAAAGTTTCTGTAAAGGTTTAGATTCATTTTGAAAGTGCTATATCTTGTAATATATGTAGTATAGAGGTTGACCAAGCTCTATTTTTTAAAAAAATATTGGCCTATAATATGTGTATTGCTCACTAAATGAATGATCCTGAAAATATGTACTCTTTAACATTCATTATTAGCTTAATAAAGCAATCAGCTCTGGCTCATGTTTAAATCAGTATATGGTTTTTAAAAACCGCTACTGTCCAAATTAACACAATATATCACTATATTCCACAAATGACTAAGAAAAATAAAGCACAAGTAACAAGTAGGCAAAAATACGCAGCTTGAAAGAAACACAAAGTGATATTAAAAGTTGCACAAAGAGTGGTGCATAATCAGCCAGGACAACTTAAGTTTTAAAAAACTGAAGTTGGTAACAGAATTTTAAAATGAAAGTTCTAACAGTGACCAATAACTATAAAGATGATATTTGTATATATCAATGGATAATATTGCTTACAGTGCCAAGGTCCTTCCACACTCACACTTCCGTGTTTGGTGACCTAATTTGGACACATGTGTGGAAGTCAAAGTGAATGAGGTTCAATATCTTGTCTGAGGTCCAAATTCTAGACTAATATATTTTTATTTAATGTTAATCCCTTTTTTACCAAGCTAAGGCACTACCAGAAATTTCACGAATGGTGATTCTGGCCACTGGAGAATGAAAACATTGGCAATAATTATTTTTAATCACATCTAGTTGACATAAAAACAAATGACAAATTTCTTTTTCTAGGGAAAAAAAAAAAGGCCAATCCTGTTTTACATCCTTGTTAGAACATTGTGCAATTAAAATAAACAAGTCTGTCTCATCTTTAGTAGAAATTCTTTCAAAGGGGTTTAGTGACCACTACAGTCAATTTTAAAAACAAATGAGCTGAATTCCCTCTTACTTTGCAGTGTTATTTCAAGTCTGTGGGGCAGCAACAGGCAAAAAGGTGTACATATGAAAATTAAGACTCCACAATTTTAAGCACTGGTGCCCTGAAAGATGTGCCTGCATGTATGTGAATTCCATGCAGGGCGAGAATTAGGTTAAAAAAAAAAAAACATATATATACATATATATATATATATATACACACACATATATATACACATATACATATACATATATGGCGCCATTCCCCATTTCCAAAATGTTATTTCATAAATCCTGGTACTCCCTTTTTTTTTTTTTATTAGCAGTGAAATACAGCCTACTAAGGCCAATGTCTCAGTTCATTAATTTGACAACTTCTTAAGCAAATTTTAGACAAAATAAAGTAGTGTTTCCACACTCGCTATTTGTGATTTCTACTTAAAAATAGGTTTTTTCATTTGTGCTCTGTCACCAAATTTCTTTTTTCCTTTTTTATGGTGATTAAAGCAATATTGAACACTAATCATTCAACTAAAGATTTAGGTAAGCAATCTGTTTCATAGAAACTAAAGGAAGTGGTAATGAAGCAGAGCAAAAAGCCTACTTTCAGAGCAAATATTCTCCTAACCACAAGCTTAGGAGCAGTTTGAAAAATTTAAAAATGTATTTCCTTATTAACATATATAATTTTAATGCCTTTGAAACACACTTTTTTAATAAAATGTAATTTTTCATAATAAAATTTAAATACATAAGTATAAAAACTACTGCTCCTAGGATTAAAAAAAATATAGGAGCATGAGAAAATATGAGGAGCCAAAGCTCCTTCAGAGAGCAACTTTGATTCTATGAAGTGCGATATATGTATGTGTGTATACAATATATATAGTGAAACCCCCATTTACATTATTACAATTTACATTTCTCCACAAAATTTTTAGTACTCCCAAATATTTTAAATAATGCATTATATTCAGTAATCTGCACTCATTTTTAGAAATTCCTGGTAAACATTGCAATCTGCAGTGATAACTGGCCCTGCAAAAGGGAAATAAGCTTCCATACAGGGCTAATGAGTGCTCAGAAATATTTTTCTTTTTCTTTTTTTAAAGAGATATATACTCTTCTATAAACCTCCCCCCCCTTGCCCCTACCCCAACAGATGGGGTCCCCAAATAAGGTGTTAACAAGTGCTTAATAGATATGTTTCTTAGGCTGATATCCCAACTGACCTTTAGAAAATATAACTGGACCTTTGAGAAGATTATGGTGGTTGTCTAACATGAGGAAAGCCCATAATAACTATTTTACTCAGTGAATATAATATTCTCAATTGTTATTTTCACATTAACTAAGATAGTACTTGTTTTACTTTACTTTGTTCCCGTTCAAATTCAACTTATGTGCAACATTTCTCCCATTTCCTAAAGTTTTGTAAAAGTGGGGTTCTACTGCATACATTTTTAGTTACTTAAAACTTTATCGTAATTCCTCAAATAGTTTTCTAATGCATTCAACTTTAAATTCTCCATCCAAAAATAGTAAGGAAAGATGGATTCACATTGAATAAGATACCATGGGAGCAGGACTGTTGTTTTTGTTTTCTGCTTTTGGCTCTTAAGGGAAAGAAAAATGTATCAAATTCAGCAAGAAGTGATGTAAGCGACATGCTTTTACTTTACTCCTCAAGAGTCCAGTTTTCAAGCCTAGCAACAGGCGACATGATGCCTAGACAATTTCCCAACTTGAACCACATGCTTCACATCTATCTTCCTGCTTAGGAGTCTATCACACCATGCAGGCTGGGACACTGGGATAAACACATCTAACATCTGTAGTTCCACAATGACTCTAGATTCTCAATTAATGGTGGACCAACAATCAATATAAAATTGCTGGTGCACTTAACCCGCCCTTTGGCTGTGGAAAGTGGAAAAGATTAAAGAGATCTACCTATATACCGATTCTGAAGACTCCAATGCCATACACAATTAATATTACTAAATGGAAAGATAGCAAATTAAGAAGGCTGAAAAATGGCAAAATATCCTGTGTACTAATTTAGGGCCAACTATTAAGTAACATGGAATGCCATATCACCTTACTAGGCATCTATTTTGCTATAAATACTGATGCTTTGTGTTTAGGTTTTGTTTTCCTTATATGCTCATAATAAAGACGGCAAATATTTTAGCCAGACAATAGCAAGTCTTCAAAATATACTAATCAGAAATTATGGTATATCTAAGAAACATGTTTTCTCTCCAAACTAGATTCTTAATTCATTTGCAACACTTGATTATGAATCCATTTTGAGGCTAGTAAAAAATTTTAAACTCTTGAGTTATTTACATATATTTTATAAAATTTACATTCTATTGCAAAATTTTTTAATGAGCCAAATGTCCAAAGGTAGAGCCATTGTTATTGGACAAAAATGAAAAATTTAAGACCTAAAAGTAATTTGAACATGAGATTTGTAAAATTTTACTAATAATAATGGCTTTCCTGTATGAAAAAAAAAAACTATTAAAATCTGACAATTGGCAGTGAATCAGGACAAAATACCCAGGTAAACATAACTGAACACAAATGGTTCCAAAGCTCATTTAAAAAGCTAGTTTCTATTTTATACTGGCTTGATGAAAACTGGTATTATACAAAAGCAGAAATTTTTACACCGTCTTAAAGTAGGCACTAAAATAAAAATGGTCATCTAAGGCAGAGCTACGCATACATTTCTGTAGTAAATCCACATCCCAGAATCCTACTGAAAAGCTTGATGGAAACGTGGGAGGGTGGTGCTTGTGCTTAAACTACTGGTAAAAGCTGCTGACAGTGAGTGCAGAGACCCAAGACCTATAGTGTTTGCAGGATCCTGAAGATCCTGTGTTTGTGTGGGGAGCTGGGAAACAGAAGAATGTGCTTCTTCTTGGGAGTAGCTCATTCCGAGACTCCCCACTGATATAGGATTATAGGGAGGACCATTTAATGGTATGAAATTAAACAACTGAGAAAAATCCAATGCTGGTGTGTTTAGAGGGTCACTGATAGAAATAGAGCTTTTTGATAGGGAGAGGTCCCCTGCACCATCATCTAGGGACCCGATCTGTGGATCCAACCCTAGCTTAGATGATGATGCTTGAGAATCCTGGGATGAAGAGGGCATGCCACCTTGTAACTCCATCAGGTAACTCTCAATTTCCCCCTTTAATGGCTGTTCTTTTTCAGGAATAGAAATTGCATATGAGGTAGAACTGAATGGGTATTTGAAAGAAAGGTGGTGAGAGGGATGAACAGCATCCATATCTATTGGGCATGTCATTCCTAAAGGTAAAGTTGTGATCATTTGGTGGGCAGATCCCGAGCTCTGCATGGACTGAAATGGAGTGTTATAGAGGTTTAACTGTAAAGTGTTTGTGAATGGCTTTGATAACAGTTCACTGGAAGGTAAGGACATCACCGGAAGGAGCTCATCTTTTATAGGCACAGACACGTTGCAGGTAAATGGATCCAGGAAATCCACTGGTTCTGTTTTGACCTTCAGAAGCTCTTGATTGTGACTCTTCTTCATGTGTCGAGTCAGGTGATCCTTTCGTCCGAATCTCTGTGCACAATACTGACAGAGGAAGTCCTTTCTTCCAGTGTGCACCACCATGTGTCTCCGGACATCCTTTCGGGTGTAGAACCGGCGATCACAATGCTCGCACTGGTGCTTTTTTTCTTTAATCCCACCAGACGACTTGCCTGCATGAGATTTAAGGTGCTCTAGAAGCACTCCTGTGCTTTCAAAAGTCTGCAAACACACCTTGCAGGTGAGGTCACCGCTTGTTGCGGCATGCAAGGCCAAGTGACGTTTGAACCCAAGCTTGGTGTTGTAGTTCTTGCCACATTCTTCACACTTAAATGTCTCTTTGTTAGGGTCATGTGTATGGAGGTGATTCTTCAGATGATCTTTCCGGTGAAACATTTTCTCACAATAATTACACTTGTGGGTTTTCTCAGGAGAATGAGTAGCCATGTGCCTTTAAACACAGATATATTCTGTAAGTGATTATCATGACAAAAATGGTATGTATTCACTTTTCAAATGGTAGCTAAACTACTATGCTAACACAGAATTCCCTCAATAATGGAAACTGTTTAACTTAATATATACCACAAGGATAGTTAATATACCTAAATACTGCAAAACTTGAGCCATTTAAATTGCCACTTTAGTTTTTGCTGGTTTCAGTTATCATTACAAAAACAAATGAGCAAGCCTGAATATACTCACGTAAATGTCCATACCCTTTTCTTGTTTTAATTTCTTTCTACAAATGGAAATTCTACTCTTAGTAAGCATTTTATTTTTAAAAAATCCAAAGACACTAACATATAAAAGTATGTGATTTAGTATACTAAAAAGTAGCCAATGTCTAATCTACTTAACATTTCCTCTCTTCAAATCATCTGAAAAATGTGTATACAAATACATACGTTTACAATGGCTTCAAATGGCCAACATAAGAGAAAATATAATCTGAAAGACAAATAGAGTTTAATACCTTTGTAATTTGTACTTAGAAACAAAGGCCTTGGTGCAGTCTTGTTGTATGCACTTGTAGGGCCTCTCTCCTGTGTGAGAGTAGGAGTGAACCTTTAATTTCTCAACACTGTTAAAGGCCTTGTCACACAGTTGGCAAGGAAAGTTTTTTCTTGGTTTGGTTTCACCACGCTTACGTTTCCCTGAAGGGACTTTCTGGGTATCTCTTACTTCTGACAAATCACCAGGAATGACAGTGGCCATCGCAGCCTAAACCAGGCCTTCTTGTTGGACACTTGGGAACTGCCCAACTCCACTAAATGATATAGCTTTAGGTGGCTTCTCAAGTTTCATGTGGTCGTAAAAGAAAGCAAAAAGGGACTGGAAAAAAAAAATAAGAAACAACTAGTTTGTAACTAAACTCAATTTTTAAAAATTTTATTTGCTATGTGATGCTTTTGAATTAAAAAAGAAACCATAAAATGGATTCAGCTGGTCTAATGTAATATCTGTAGGTTTCTTTATATTTGTCAAAATTCATATAAATGCATTGCTCAGAATGAACAGTTCATACATACCCTGAAATTCCACCTGACAAACGTACTTAGACATAGCAGCACTGATTTCAGGAACTCTCAGGATGCATCAAAACATGATTCTAAAAGTGGCATTATTAAGCTTTAATTTTCATAAGGAATTAGAGAATGTAAATCTAACTGAAAACGTAGTAATGTTTCAACAAATATTTCAGTGTCTAAAAATCATTCTAATTTGTGCACATCAGCTCTAGTCACACTCTGTATTTATTAAAGGAAAATAGAAATAAGCATTTGTAAACTCTTCTAGGCACCTCATGAGCCACTGAGTTTATGAAAGAACTACTCAATGCACAGACACCAGAGGCCTGAAAGAGTCCAACGCACCACCCAAAGTGAAAATTTATTCTTTACACCAGTGTCATCATACTCTGAGGAATATCTGAGACAAGAGCAGAAATGATTTCTCTCTATAACAAATATACATTCTTGAAATGCTAAAAACTTTTGATGTTATATTAGGTAAAGAGCATGCCTCCTTGTCATTTTGGGGGAAAGATATGCTTAAAGTAATTTTCCTCAACACCTGTCATGTCACAGAAAATGATTATATTCACGCGGCACACAGGTTAGTAGGTAAGCTAGAGTCATTAGGCCTCCCCAAGAGCTGAGGGGATCAGCCTTTCGACACACCTGTAACCCCTGTGCAACACACCTGTTGGGACTTCCGACTTAGCGCATGATACCTGTGCAAGAATACATGATGAGGCGTTTCAGAGTTTCAATTCATTTTCAGCACTGTGAGAAAGAATAAAATGTAGCAATTGTACAGCAAGGAGTATGTTTTTTTAAACAAAAAATTTAAAACTGAATTGAAACCTTTGAAACTCATAGTCAAGAGACAGTAAATATTATCAACTCTATTTCTCAGAGTAAGACAACCAACTCTAAAGATTCAGTTGATATAAGAGTTAAATAATTCCTCAAGGTTTGTGAATGCTAGTTTAGCAATGTACTTTTAGGAGACCACAAAAATGTGTAATACCTGCAACATCTTTAAAAAAGATCTAATTTTAAATAGAAAACTTGAATGGAGCTAACCGACTTATCAACTACTAATCAATTGGGTTTTTCTTCCTATTATATATTTTAAAAAGTGAAAACCAACTTCCTTATATCACCGTGTTCTGGTATCAAACTGATTCTTGCTTAGGTCTATTACACCAACTTTCTCAGATTCCAGTTACACTTTTGTAGGAGTTCTAAATACCTACTTTTTTGTAAAATTAAGTGTATGTTAGAATAGGTCTTATTGCATTTTAATGTAGAGGCGATCCATAAATAGGCAAAATATATCAATTATCTTCTCATTTGATTAAAGTAGTAAAGCGTATGGGTGAGTTAATCAGTGTTTGCTTCACGTGTCCTTTCTTCTTTATTAGGCAAGCCCTTCGAGCTGTTCTAATTGCCTAAATGTCCCCCTTACAGTTTAAAACTCAGATTAACAAAATGCAACTGATGTTACCAATGCTAACATAATATGCCCTGTCTGGTTTCAGATTTTCTGAATCTTTAGGACTTGTTCTTTTCCTGTTACATTCTCATTCAGAAGATAGTTCCTCTGCCTCCCTCAGAAATACCTAAATAGGTATTCTGCTGTAACCAGTAATGATACTGTAAATGTATATAAAGCATTCTGCCAAGGGAGGAAAAAATTTAATTTTCATTAAATTTGATTTCCTAACATGATGCTTTTATGCACCTATTTAGAACACTGTGGAAAACAAGCTAACCATTTTCCAACTGTGATATCAAAATGGAATGCAAAGTATCTAAATCTCTGTATATAACTAATATCTGAAAATAATTTGAAACATGGGTCATATTTGTCATTTGTTACAAAATCGAACCAAAATGGGCAGAGAATTCTAGTTGAGAAAAACTACTTCTAAGTTATTGAAAGAAAATGTATTAAAAGTGCACCATGAAACAATATACAAACATCTGATTATATTAAAATTGGTGATACTCAATACAGAGTAATAAGTGAATTCTGTTATCTTTGGATGTACATACTGAGCAATGAAGAATTGCACTGATTTCAAATATTACACTTTTCTAAGACCAGCTGAAATTTTTTCATGGCTGATAATACTTTATCCTAATGTATTACAAAATCAAATTAATTATCACAGGTGCATTTAAAACTATAGGGTGAATATAAGGTTGTGAGCTCAATATCTAATTAAAAAAACACATTCATCATATGCAAATCAATCAAATACTTGAAAGGCGCATGCACAGTATTATAGTGATTTTTGTTCAATGCATACCTGATTACAGATGGAAAAAGCCTCAGACTTTGATCTTAGCCAGTTCCATTGACTCTTCGTGGAAGAGAGTGGAATCCAATCCTTCCCATTTTGGCCAATCTATTAAAAAAAAAATAAGAATGGACTATCCTCTAAATGGAACAAGTGCATAAACGATGGAAAATAAAGGATAAAAGAATTGCAACTTCATGGCACATGCTTACATTCCATATTCTGCCGACAAGTCATGCATTAATTTTCACCAACTGCTTATTTTTATTAGTTCTAAGCACAATTACATGACCAAATAAATGCAGAAATAAAAAGCAAAATAGTATTACCTAGATAAATGGCAATTTGTGATGCTGAATGACTCCCCACTTCTTTCCCAAATTCAATTTATTTATTTTTTTAATCTAACTTTCCTACTAGGAAAAAATGGATATTAGGATTACTGTTTGTAAACCAAACTGATCAAAATTTCATTAAGCTTCATAATATTATGGAAGAGACAAACTCAGTTCCCTCTCAGAGAGCATGAGAAACCGCACCAACGAACCGACTCCTACTGAACGCACTCACGCCCACGCTGTGCACAATTGTGCGACTGGGGCTTCTCAGAGCTACACTTTTGTTACCTGCAATACCTGCCAATTCTGAAAAGCATGGTGCAAGGACAGCTAAAATGTAGCAATAACTCTGTGCTCTTTAGATGTCAAAAGCATGCAGGGAAGTTAAATATAGGTTTGCTACAGGAGAAGGAGTTGTTAGGAAGAAAGCATCATCTGGTTTAAGAAATCACTGTTGAAAAATCTTAAAGTAGTTTAAAAATGCCTGTAAGTAGCATGATCTTAAGTAGACTGAGAACATGCATAGAAAAAATTTGTTAATAATTATTGACGGTACAAGTAAACATGAAAACAATAATAGTTGAAAGATAGAAAAACATAGAATCATCTATTATAGAGAGTACAAGGCATAGAGAGATTAGTAAACTCTGGGTATCTTAAAGATGAATGGTCAGAAATTATAATTTTAAGAACTTGAGAATGATAATATAAGTCAAATAGTTAAAACACAATAAAAGGGTTCACCATAGATGGGTTAAATAAAAATAACTTTAAACTTCTAAACAGAAATCTAATAATTTCCCCGAAATAAAATTTTCACATACTTTAAGAATTTGATGATGTCTAAATAAAATTTTCAATAGAGGACATTCAAGCATCAATATAAAAATACTAACGGTATATTTGAAAGCAGCATTATTCTCATAGTTTAAAAGACAAGAAAGATAAAATTTTAGATGAATAAAAGATATTTAAAAAGTTAAAGCAAAAGCTCCATTCTTTTGAAAAGCACAAGACATGCACAAATGGAAGAACGAATTCTGCACATCAAAATTGCAAAATAATAAAATTAACTGTGTACGTACTTACTTGCCCAGGGCACATACTGAGTTTTTGTAGGACAATTAAGAATATGAAAGACCATTGTGTGTATTATGTTATTTTAATAATATAAATACAAGTATACAGTGTTCTCATCTCTATTACTTCCCTGGAATTCAATGAATATGAGAGGTGGACGCATTCATTATCAGGCCATCTTAAGGTGAGAGGTGAGAGGCCTTAGAAGCCCAACAACTTGACAGTGTGGTTAAGAGAGGGCTTATGCCCTAAAAGTCCTTTTATTCAACTGCATTTGATGACAAGAGCAGGTTAGCAAACCAATTTGCAAGTGGATAAATCTTGCATTATACTTAAAAGATCAGAAGAGAGGACAGTGCCTATTTTCTCTATGCCAAATGTGGTTCCCCCCCCAAATAAATTTAATACCTAAAAAGTTTAAAAGACAGTTTACAAAGTAAATTTTAAATAATTTAACTAACTGCTAAAATAATAACTAGTACATCTAACTAAATAGTGATTTGGGTGGAAAAAATCTAAAACCAAAATTGAAGAGTAAACAATAAATTTCTATATTTTTTCTCTTCTTTCCCCAAACAGTATAAATTTTACTGTATCTCAAATACATTCATAAAATTTCATAAAAGTTTTATTTATGTTAGTGTTCAATGCTCAATGACATTTTATAAAAATTCTTTAGCTCTAAGTATTTCAATATAGTTTAAAATTACACATTTTGTTTTGAGATAGACCAATAGTCTATAAATTACCCCAGCTATGTATTTTAAAGTCTGAAATAAAATAATATAAAGCCATTATTTTATCACAAAACATAATCCCAAAGTTATGAGTAATTTCCCTAAATTCAACCTATTTTGAGTTCTTAATGAGTTGCCATATAATTTCAAAGGACTGTGAATTATTTCCCAAAACAAAATCAGAAAGTGGCTAGAATTAACTATTATTTGGATTGACATAATAAACATAAAAAAGTTTGTATTTATGTAATCCTAACTAAAATGTTAACTAAAATTATCAGTGTATTTTCTTTTATAGGATTAAGAAATACTTCAAAGAAGTACTGAGACTGAAAAGTCTGCAACAAAACTTGTACCTGTGTTTCTCTTTTCTACCTTTTTAAAAAACTTATCAAAGATTGATTACTATACTTTTCAACTGATGAAAATCCTTCTTTGCCTTGGTCTGAAGAATTGTGTAGAAAATACATATACCCACTTCAAATTGCTCTATGATGAAAAAGCATTTCAGAATATCCTTCCAGGTTTTTTTTGGTACCAGAACAGACATTTTTTTCCAGAGCAAGTTTGCATACACAGAAACAGCAGTTAGAGGGAATACTGTATGTTCTGTGCACACACAGGCCTATCCTTCTATGTTCTGCATTATTCTAAAATAGTGACTCAGACAGAAAAATAACAAGCAAATAATAAGCAAACATGAACCAGACAACAGAGGGTCTACTAAAACCAATTTCTATGAGATGCCAGCAAAAGAAGAGGCCTGTATAGAAACTGTTTCTGTATTTTAAATCCCATAGTTCTGAAAATCATTTTGCTAACAGCTGTGAATTTTTACAACACTTACCTGCATCAATAATTCTTTCATATTTAAAAGTCAAACACAGATTTTGCTAACCAAGGGTAAATACCAACAATCATCAAAACTTTATTTTCTCTTATGCTTATCATGAAATACCATTAGTAAACAATTCAGAAAATGTGAATGTTTGCTTAAAATATATTTTTCATATAGAGTAAATAAGGTAGGTTGCAAAATGAAACTTACCAGTTATTAATATTTTAATTTACACTCAATAGAATTTTGAATGATGTGAAAGAAACTATTCACAAGATACCATAATTGAAGACAGTCAATTTTGAAGTAATGTCAACAACATACTTAGAACATTTTTTACAAACAACTTCAATGACCCTGTGTGATAATTTGGAAATCTACAGCATTCAATTCCCACAGGTCTGTAAAATAACTTGTTAGTGAAGAATAAAGGGAAAAAAATCTATCTTGCAATTATAAAACCTAAGAAAGAATGGAAAAATTGAGCGTAAGCAGGGTAGGGGCAGGGGCCATGCCCATTTTATTCACTGCTGTTTCCCATAAAGGCAGTAAAAGTCACTATTGAATGAATGAAAAAAATTAGAACCAGGAAAATGCTTACCAGCAACACAATGACCTAAAGGCTTGCTCAATCACCACAGTGGACATAGGACAGAATATACATGTCTATAATCAAGTCAAAGATAATGCTGTATGGATACAATTTGGTCCAACATATTGAATAAGTCAATAGAAGGGTATTTTTGTGAAACTTGGCTCCTATTTGAAAAGTCTTACATTAACACAACAGCAATTATAATAAAAGCTGACTAAAATACTTATTTTGTTTCAGAAAACAAGTATTCTCTGATTGCTCTTATTACTAAGGAATCAACTATTAGTAGCAGATAACATCAATCCAGCTCACATTCCTCATCAAAATTTCCAAAGTGGAAACACGCCTGGTGCCTGATCGGTGCCTGGCATGGAGCAGGAAGGACAGTGAGACACTTGGATGGGGCTGCTGATCCCTACAGAGGAGAAAAGAAAGGAGCTGAGAGCCTACTGAGAAGCAGGAGAAATGGCCCAGACGTGCACCTAATGTGCTTGAATTATAATGGGTCCCCAGACAACTCATTTTATAATCAGAATATGGGAAATTACAGTATTTATTTTCCTATATTAGATATCATAGTTAACTAAAATTAATAAAAAATAAGAATGCCTTTTTGAATTACTGTATTTGATATTTTCAACTTATTTTGAGCAATTCATTAAAATGTAGTTCTAAGACAATCTTTTTGAAATTCACCATAAAAAATTAGTCTTACTGAGTTTAGAAATGTCTTATATTTAATATACAAATAATAAAAACTAACAGAGAAGTAAAAGAAAATAGCAGACCTATTTAAGATACAATAGGAAAAAGTAAACGAATTCCAAAGCGGAACCAAGAAATTCCATCATTTCTCTTATCTGTACAATTAGGATGTTCCTTTGCAGGTCACTCATTTTCTAGAGTACCCAGACAGAATGAACAGATAACCTGATGAAGATGCAATATTCAAATAAATTTTATCTTCCAATCAGAAATATTTTCCTTGGTTATTTATTTTATGGAGCAAATATGCCATGTTAACACGTTTTTCTTCTCTTTTAAAGATCCATAATTTAGAAGTTTAACCACTGTGTGTGTGTGTGTGTGTGTGTGTGTTGGGGAGGGTTCTCTATCATTATATATTCTTATCAAAATAAAAAAACTAAAATATACAGATGGGTGGTACACCAGGGTATTTTCATTTTCCTCACATATGGCAATTAGTATTTGCATACAGGAAATGAGAGAGGAATTATGCCAAGGGGAAGCAGTGACGCTTGAGAGAGCACAGAGAACCGCGATTATATCCAAATACAAAGTAAGACTGCTTAATCAATACTTTAACTATTTTAGAGGATTTCCTGTTTGTTTTTTTTTTGTATAAAACATTTCCAAAATATTGGTGATCTGGCTATTATGATAAAGCAGGTAGCTCACAGGTCAGCTCTATTAGAGAATTGCATATATCCCAAACTGTGATGAGTTCTTTACCTTATTACCAGTAACCTCTTAAGTTTCTGAAGCTATAACAAAAATATTTGACAACTATAAAAATGTTAACATTGAAAGACCCTAAATGTTTGAAGGACATGCCTCCTTTCAAGTATGGTTAATTGCCTAATGCTATTAAAATCACAAAAACAGAATAATCCAGATTTCATGTTTGACCTCTCAAGCACCCATACTAAGCCTGTCTATAAATTCAAATGAAAAGGCAGACATCAGATGCGTTATAACAAAAGTGCTAAGAAAAGAAAGTTTTACTTAATTACAAAAGCTCATGCAGAGAATTAGTTTTAAGCCATCTCAAAGTAAAGTGCACTTTAAATATGGGCTTGTGCTGTGGTATGAGAGATATAAATGTTGTTAAATATATGTGCTGATGCTTGAGCAGCACTGAAAATGTAATGAAAACAGAATCCACATCCAGGTAAACGTCTGCACGTGCCCTCAGTCTGTACTCCCATGTGGCTGTCCAGGATAAAATCACTTCTGGAAACAACCACTTCTATTCATTCCCACACAGTTGACAGTGAATAGGATGTGATCTAGGCAAACCTGCCAAGTCAGCGGCCACGCTCTCCTCCACCTCCAGCTGGCACAATCAGAAGAGACTTGATATGTATATTCTTTCACTGATTCTACTAGAGTGAGAAAGAACTTGAAAACCTCACCTCTCTGAGCCTTTTATCCCTAATATGGACTGGAAAGCCATTCTTTGAAATGACCTGTTTGACCTCTCTCTCCTCTGGCAACAGTAAATTCATCTATAGGGAGACTATTATTCATCCCTGTATACCCAGCACCTGGTCAGTATCCTGGCATATAGTAGACATTTGATAAATATTTGTTGAATGAACTGTAGTTCCTTTAAGAGAATTTCACGAATCAAAGCTAGTAGGTAAATAAATATGTATCGGGGCTCCCGAAATCTCAAATCAGTTACAAAGCAAGCTCCCACAAAATTAAATGGTTAGTTTGTTTTGGCAGAGGGCTGGGAACTTAGGGGAGCAACAAAACCATTTGTGAGTCTATACTGCTCTGTGTCCCTGGGAGAAGCATCACCTGCTTCTGTGGGCCCCGAAAGCTAGGGGCACTGAGTATGTGTCACTCAGAGGCTCAATGAGCACGGAGACAAACCCAGGCAGCACTCAGCTGGCCTGGATTTTCAGAACATTTCTGCTTTCAAATGTTCTGTTTCATAGCTCCTTAAGCACACATAACCTGTATGGATCATGATTTATCACTGGAAATGATTTATCGTTGGAAAGCTCTATTGGAAAAAAAAAAAGAACAAAGTAAAATTCAAATCTTCAAAGAAGATGTTCTTCATGTGAAATTAAAATGTAAGGAGATGTTCAAAATGGAAAATTTTTGACTCATTACAGATACAAGAGAATCAAAAAGGAGAAAATCTGTATAAATGTGGTTTAAGTAAAAGTAAATTAATTCTTCCCTCTTTTTCTAGCTGCTAAAGAACAGCTTCACTAAAAACAAGTTTAAAAACGACAATGAAGTAGAAAAAGAATAAAACCTGTAGCACTAAAAAACCATTAACATCTTTTTATTTATTTAAAAAATATTTATTGTATACAGATGGCTAAAAACTTAGGCTAACTTGATTTTAATGCTTAACTTCCACAGAATGTTGTGCTTAACAGAAAATTTTAGCCAGATTAATTTCTGCACCTTTAATTTGATTGAAAAAGCTCTGTTCATACATACTGTGATGCCCTGTCTGGCTCTCAGCCCAAGTCCTCCTTTCCCCAGGGTTGGGGGCCCCTGTCTGTAGTCGGTGGAGAGTTTAGGAACAGAAACCCATCCCCTGGTACTTGCACAGTCACCTTTGCTTTTTCCAGTCTCCCTACGCTAGAGCTGAGGGTCCTGGCCTCTAAACCTCAACCCTGTTTTTGAGGTCCTTCTGACACACTTACCTGGTGCCAAATCCGTGTGTGCCTGGATTTTCAAGTATTGCTACCCCTTGATTCTCTGCCATTGAGCTGCAGCTACAGTTTGGGAAATCTAGATGCTTGTACATGTCCTCTTCCCAACAATGCTAGCAAATTGCTCTTGCTACACAGGGTTCCTTATTCTAGCATCTGCCCCACACCAGTGAGCAGATCTAGCCCCCCTCTCTTTCCAGCAGACAGAAAAAGATATAGTGGCAACATGGGATAGTCTATCACTCGGAGAAAGATTCAAAGAAAGAAGAGCTTAAGAGTTCATCTGTAGCTATCTGGGGAACAATAAGCTTTTACAACACTACGAATTTTGTGCACAGGGGAAGGAACACTGCTCCTTGCTAGTACTTCAAACATTCCATTATACCTTAACTATTAATGAAGTCCTGACGATCACAATACATATTGATGATCCCTAAGATGGTAAGTGGCATGCTTATTATGTGGCATGCTTTTCAAAGCTTTTAATATTATATCTTACATTAGTTAGGAATGGAAATAATTGATCACTTTGAAAGTCATGCCATATAATGATAAAAGCCACCTACCTGAGGCTCTGCTCCAAATTCTAGCAAAGCAACCTTATCAACAGACTGTCACAGAATGAGGCATTCTGGGTGCCAAATACAGCCAAGGCAGCACCAAGAGGAAACCTAAAAAGAAAAGAAGAGTTAGTTTGAAATTCCAAAAGTCAGGCCCAAATTGGTTAATGGCATATGAACCAAATTGTGTTTTATTCATTATCACTTATTCATATTCTTTGTACTTTATTGAAAAATCTACCTTAAATCCTGTTAGAAACACATGTTAAACAAATAAAATATTTATAGTACAGTACATTGTAAAATCAAAAGTAAACAAATCAATATCCCTACGTTTATGTATTTTCTCTCTGAAGCTCAGTTATCTAGATTTATATTTTTATGCAGTAAAATTATTATTCCAAGTTTATTGCCATTTCTCAAATTTGCTGCTTATTTTCTTTATTTATATTATAAACACATCCATTATCCTCTCTGTAACACAGTTTTCAGAAAAACCTTTTGTGGTGTCTGTCTTGTTCTGAACAATGGCTGTGGGAGAAATTCTGCCCCATGAGTGCTTTCCTCGGTCAGAGACCAGGCCATCTGTGCAGAGAAAGGTGGCAACTACTGAGCACCCCAGAGCAGAGGCAGAATAGGGAGCCAGGGACAACTTTTGAGCTCCTGAGTTGGTCTTTATGATGTGACTATTACTTGTTTCCAAGTCAATTCCCAGGGGCAATTCAATCTACAACAACATACAGTGAAAAACCAAAACATATTCTGAAGTATTCAACGTTCTGAGTCATCCTCAGCATCCTTCTTTTGGTGCAGATTATGAAGACTGACCTCTATGGGCATTAACCAAGAGAGAAAAGAAATGCCAGGTGTTCTATGCAGAAAATCACCTGCTTCATTTACCTACACCAGAGAGTCAATGCTTAATTCTATGTGGTTACCACTCTATTAAGATAAATATCTGACACTGATGTTATAAACATTACCGACACCTATTATATACGGTTCCAACTTGAATTTATTGTGGGTGTAGACAGATACAATCCCTGTTCTCTAGGAGTGCACAAGCTAGGTGTGGCTGTGGAATATTCTGTATACCTTTTGTGAAGTTAAAAAATACGTACAACTGTTAAATAAAACCTGCCATAAGGTGGTATTAGAGTGACAAATTAACAGTTACAAACAATATTATAAAGTATAAACAAGTACCTTAGAAGGTCAAAAAAGGAAAAGAATTCTATGGATTTTTGATGATTTTTGCCATGAAGAATGTACAATTAAGAAAGGTTAAGAATAAAAAATGTATGTGTGGTCGTGAGGGGGAGGGTGAGCATGACAGCCAGAAGAACTCAGAGGTTAGAACCAGATTATTACAGAGTCTAAGATGGCCTCTGGCTATTGTGTAATTTACAGTCATTGTAGGGATTCAAATAAGAAAAGTACACTGAAGCCCAAATGGTCTGGACATTTGACACTCACGTACTCATGATAGGAAGTGGGCAATTTTAAAACACTGAATGGATCAAAAGTGCAGAGAACAAGCACCTGGGGAGTAGGGGGAAGGGGAGCGGGGTGCTTGTTGAATTAGACACAGAAGATGTGTTCTGGAGTTGTCCAAGGCAGAGTTGACACCAGCAAAAATAAGATTTCCTAGAAGAAAGGCCACTTACATGCCTGACAATATTAACAAAAAGAGATAAGGGAAAGGAAGACAAAGATAGTTGAACAGCCTACATGCACAGAATGGACAATCAAACCAGATAATGGTTTACTCATGTTGGAGCCTAATGACCATCACTGAGACAAAACCAGGTAATCAAAGGAGACCAGGAGGTAGAGACTGAACTTCAAGGATAAAGAAGAAAAAGGTGGCAAAAACCTCAAAAAGGTAAAGCTGCTAAGAGCTACAGAATCACCCCACAATTCCTGCATAGTGTTCACCACTTAGGAATGAAGACACCAAACTTCAGCAGGGAAGAGTGTGAGGTGGGGTGAGGTGAGAAGGAGAGAAAGGGGGAGAAACATGTAAATGAGGATAGTTAGTTGGGTGCTAGGGAATGACTTCCAGCAAAAGGATGCTTTCTGTCAAAGAGCTTTGACCCTAAAGAAAAGAAAAAAAGGGAGGATGGTAGCTAAAAGAGAACTTAGGACCAGGTGGGAGAGAGAAGCGGGTGAGAGAGAGAGAAGAGAATGTTTTTGTGCTGAGGATAAAGAGGTGGGGAAGAAAATGAAGCACTCTTAATGAAACAGGGCAGAACAGGATCCAGAGAAGGAGGAGAGGCTTTTGTCTTGGATAAGAGGCTTTTTTACTGACCTAGGAGGGATCTAGGAGGGTACTTCAAAAAGTTCATGGAAAGATTAGTATGATCTTTTAATTCTATTTTTCCATGAACTTTTTGAAGTACCCTTGTATGTTCATCCTGATAAGTCTTTTGGTCACAGAGGCAAGAAATGCCAGGAATTTGCTCACTGTGGCCAGTGCTGAGAAGAAGGGTCCTATGTCTGGTAAGAATGAGAGAGGAGCAAGGCACTTGGCCAGGGAAAAAATAGCCATGGGGGGGAGGGGTGTGTCCAGGGACATCCTCGAAGGTTTTACAAAAACAAACAAAAACTTGCCATAAAGGATTAAATCTCTTAGTTATTGCCGGTGGGAAGGTAAACTGTTGAAAGTTTTCTGGAATACACTGTAGAAATATGTAATCAAAGCTTTTCAAACGTTTGTATTTTGACCTGATAATTCATTTCTAGAAATTTAAGCAAAAAATGAGAGAAAAAAGATTTAAATATAAAGACATTCAAAGTATATTTTAAGAATAAAAACTGACAATGTCTAGAATAACTATGCAAACACTAAAAACCATGCAGTTGAAGAATATTAAATCAGATGCAAAAGAACAGTTAAAGAATATTGAATCACATGGAAAAACAGGCATAATAATTTTTTAAAAAACAGGACACAGAATAAGTGTCTATACTATGACTCCAATTTTCTAAAGTATGCACTTCAAACTAAACTATGCCACTGCTCCCCCCCCCACTAATGTACCTATGAGAGTTATAAACAAAAGATTTGTAAGGTATAGGCTTTATACTTTTCTGTACTACACAAATATATTACTTTTATAATTAGGAAAAATTATTTGATCAGAGAGAATGTCTTTTTTTCTTTTTTTTTTGACCAATAAGGGGATCGCAACCCTCGGCATGGTGTGGTCTGTACCACGCTCAGCCAGTGAGCACACAGGCCATCCCTATATAGGATCTGAACCTGCGGCCTTGGCCCTACCAGCGCCGCACTCTCCAGAGTGAGCAATAGGGCCGGCCCAGAACGTCTTTTTTTCAACAAATGCTGGTGGAAAAGTTTGATGTTCATCTACCAGAAAATGAACTTCAAACCATATCTCATATCATATACAAAACTTAACTCTAAGGGGACCATAGGCCTAAACATAAAACCTAAAACTATAAAACTTCTAGAAAAAAACACAGAAACAATCTCTGTGACATTCAGTTAGTCAAAAGTTCCTTAGTTACACCACCAAAAGCACAACTCATAAAATAACAAATTGATGAACTGAATTTCATGTAAATTTTAAAATGTTCTTCAAAAGACAATGTAAGGGAATGAAAAGACAAGCCACTAGAAGACCAGAACAAAATCTTTGCATAAGTTGTATATCTGATAAAGAACTTGTACCCAGAATAAAGAACTCCTAAAACTCAACAATAAGAAAACAAACAGAGGTTCCGGTCAAGATGGCAGAACAGATGGTCCCTAGCGTCCCTCTCTCCCACAAATCAACCAATTTACAATTATAAAAATGTAACATCAGCCAAGCTTGGGCTGCTGGAGCTTAGGGGAAGAGGAGGAGAGACCTACAGAGTTCATGAAGGCGGAAGAAACCACGATGAGAGAAAGAAAAAAATGCTTGGAGTGTTTTGGGATGCAGCCACTTTAAGGTTGGAACTGCTGAGTGCATGGAGCAGGAGCCAGCAGAAACTACAGCTGTGCCCTTCTGATGGAGTTACATGGAGGCAGCAGAGGAGAAGAGGACCTTTGTGGTCCCCAGGACAGCAAGACCACTAATAGGGTTCCTGTGGACCCATGCAGGAGGAGCCAGAACAACTGAAAAAGAGGAACCATTCAGAGGCTGGGGAGCCATCGGAGGCCGGTGAGTCATTGAAAGGGACCAGTGCAGGGCCTGTCCCATGGGAAGTGTTTGGAGCATGGGTGGTAGGGGAGACAAGCCCACTGGGAGAACACTGGGACACAGGAAGGACAGCCGATTCACCCCCCAATCAGCACAGGACCACTCAGAGGAGACTGGTTGGGAATGCAGAATTGCATGGGGTGCAGTTTGATGAAAAAACTCAGGCCCAGATCAGAGTTTCTACACAACCCAGGTGCACCGAGTCTCTGGAGAGCCAGAAGTACCTATAAGGTCAACCATTAAACCCTGAGCTGCACAAAAACCTTCCCTAGGGAAAAAGCAGTAAAGCAGCAATTTAGCTCAACCACAGAGCTCAAGTACTGGTTCCCACAGGAAGTTCCCCTGTGTTAGAAGTAAGCAAAGGACAAAAAATTAATTCTGGTCCCAGCACTCTACCAGTACCTTGGGGCCCACCAGGGGAAATGAGGCATGGAGCCGGGGACAGAACCCCTGCCTACAACCACTCACACCACCAGTGCCTCGGGGCCTGCCTGGGAACCCGAGGCTTGGAGCTGGGGACTGGACCCCACTCCCACATCCAGGCACAGTGCCAGCACCTCGGGTACTGCCCAGGGGCCCAGGGCATGCAGCCAGGGACTGGACCCCCTGCCCACAACCAGGCACACCATGCCAGTGCCACGGGGCCTGCCTGGGGACCTGATGCATGGAGCCAGGACCAGACACTCCCCAAAACCAGGCACACTGCCAACACCAAGGAGCATGCCAAAAACATCACCTCCATGTGGGTGGCCCATCAAGCCACCACAATAACCATGGCTGCCATGAAAGCGGCTAGATGCCACAAACACCATGCAGATGGTCTGCCAGCCACTGGAGTGCATTGACACAAGGAGAGTCACCAGCAGAGATAAAGAAAAGAAGAGGATGTCTCTCCACATAGCC